TATGGCTAAAATCTTTGTCTCCCGGGCTCAAACTTGAGCGATTATCACCGGAATTCGAAATAAGAGGTTTTAGATCAAAGAGATCTTTAAAATATTTGCAGCCAGGTGATCTAGACAGCTTCTTTTCGTCGCCGAATAAGTTATTGTTGGCTGAAAGAAGAATACTAGAAGACGAGCTAAATAACATAAACAAGAACGACAGTAGTTTGCAGCCACAAAAACTAGATTTCAGCGGCCAGTCGAATAACAACACTGCTTTTCCGAGTTCAACAAGCGCACACGATAATAACAACCAGATGAGATTTGCGGGAGTGGATTCCTATTCGCCCCAAAGCTTCGACTCAACAACACATGCAACAACAACTAGCCCACTAGATAGAAGAGCGCAAGAGCRCACAGAAAATCTCCAAGTACTCAGCGTCCAAGTAGCAAGTGCTAAAGAACAGCTCGCACTGAAAAGAAAAGCTATGGAATCTATCTCAGACACCGTACAGAAAAAGAAAGCGTGCAGTATACGTATTTGCCACAAGGCCGGCCATAACAAGTCGAAATGTAGGGGAGATCCCTGTGTAGATGCAAACATATGTAAACTGCCTGACAAAYATCCAGAGCTTCAAGCAGAAGTTCGTGAACTTCAAAAAGAACTCAAAGAACTCGAACAAAAATACACTAAAGCGAAAAATGAGAACGATGTTTTCTTGGCATCGCGACAACRCGTCAGGTCTAGTTTCTTCTCAGTAATGAGACCCAGACTCAAAAAACAAAATTTACCCAAGTACATCGACCGTTATGCCTTAGACAGAGATTTGATGGTTTTAHAAAGGGCCCTTTCAGGACAAATACCACCTAATGAAAGTCTTGACTGGAGGTTACCTGCTATGATCGATGAGTATAAAAGAAATACTGACACTTACCGTGCCTCCTTCCAACCGAGTCAACCACCTATGGCGCCAAATCAAGGCTTCATGTCCCCAATGTGCACTCAGAATCCAGAATTTAGTTCTCATTTCTATGATTACCAACGATGACTGATTATGTTATGTTATAGTATGTTATAGTATGTTATGTTATACTTCTGTTCTGTCCAATGCGAGTTATAAGTATGCACATGAGAGTGCCAAAATACGGGCAGCGATAATATAAAAACATGTTTGCGTTTTCATCGATTTGTATATCTAGTTGCTATTTGACCACAAGATCTTGTTATAAATAAATAGATCAATCAATAAACAAGCGGGATGACCGTTTATATTTTGTTTTATTTACCTTTTTGATATAACGTGAATTGATAAGAATAAAACTGATTGCGTTCTATTATATATTGACGGTAAAATACTCACATCTGCACAAACGCCAAACTCTCTGGCTTCTTTGTGCAAATACAGATCATAATGAACGTCCAGTAATTAAGAGAAGACAGTTTCAAGCAAGGTCGGAAAAATGTCGAAATAATGTCGAAGTAATGTCCAMATAACTAGTGAGCGTTCATGCACATCTTGCATGTGATTGGTTGGTTTCAAAAGAATGTCGAAATAACRTCTCAAAAAGGTCTGGGCGTTCATGGTTCGAGTATCCTCACTGTAATCCAAATTTTGTTGCCTGTTTTGTATTTTTTGGAATTGCATTTTCTTTTAATTCTGAAATTTCTTCCTCTGACATTTCAACAAAACGACTAGCGGACGACGCCATTTTGCAAAAAAATCCATATATTCACCTATATATTCACCTATAGGTGAACATCGCTCATTGAAGCGTCAAATTCGACCAATCAGCGCGCTAGAATTATGATATTCACTTATGAAATTATACTAATGGCAGATATTCCCGGATCCACCTTGACCAAAAACAGCTTGCTAAGAATTGGGCGTGTCCTCCATTGTTTGCGTGAGTGTAGATCATCTGGTTCAAACACTCCAGGTKGTACAGGAATGTTTTGTCGTTGGAGGAGAAGGTGATTAGGAGTCAGCACATCAAGATCGACTGAGTCATCACTACTCGGACATATCGGTCGGCTATTTAGTATTGATGTCACTTCTGMAAACACAGTGCGCAGTGTCTCATGGCCAATAAGAGCTTGAGGATCGCCGATGACTCCTTTCATGGACTTGCGTATGCTTCTGATGAGACGTTCCCACACTCCAGACATGTGACTGGCAGCAGGGGGCTGGAACCTCCATTGCGGAATGGGACAGCAATGCCACTCTACTTCACTGGAATGTAGATCTGCCTTTATAGTCTTTTCGTCCAACTCTTGGATAGAACGACGTAATTCCATGTCTGCACCACAGAAATTYGTGCCATTATCTGACCAGATTTCCTTGGGTCGCCACGCACTGCCATGAATCTATGTAGGGCTTGTATAAACGTGTCGGCTTCCAACGAGCTGACATCATCGATGTGCACACAGCGACTGTTAAAGCACACGAATATGCATCCGTAAATCTTGATTGTACTTCGAGCGCGTTTTACATGGAAAGGGCCAAAGAAATCAACGCCGGTATATGTAAATGGTGGCTGATATAGTACTAAACGCTCCTTGGGCAAATTCGCCATCTTCTGTTGCATCACAGGACCTTCACGTCTACGACAGGTTACGCACTGACGCACTAGTTGACGAATAAGTAATCGAGCTCCTAAGATCCAATATCTCTGACGCAGTGTGCCAAGAACATGTTCTCGTCCCCCATGACCCAGTATTCTGTGATAGTGTAGTACTAGTAGACTTGAAATTGGGTGCTCCTTTGGCATTATGATGGGATGAGCAGCTTCATACGGTATTAGCGCCTTGTGGATCCTTCCCCCTACGCGGATAATGC